CACATAATAAAAGCATTCAAGGGAACTTAAGTTTCAAATAAAAAAATCAAAGGGCAGCCCAACCGGCATGGCTCAGTGGTTGAGCATTGACCTATGAGTCAGGAGGTCACATTTGATTCCCAGTCAGGGTACCTGCCCGGGTTGCTGGCTCAATCCCCAATGGGGAGCATGCAGGAGGCAGCCAATCAATCATTCTCTCTCCTTATTGATGTTTCTGTCTCTCTCTCCCTCTCCCTTCCTCTCTGAAATTTAAAAAAAAAAAAATTGAAGAGGAGGGAAGTCAGATGGGACTGATTTTAGTTGCTTAGCTCTGAGTTCCCTGCTAGGCTAGGAAAAACGGGAAAGAGGATCAGTTATAGTTCTTGCTGCAGAAGGGAGCAAATCCAGCAGATCCTCAGAAGAGAGACATAGCATTTCCTGGTACTAAACTGTAAGAAAAGCCTCTCACCCAGAGCTTTGGAGAGGGACATGGGGCTCTTGATAACCAGCCCTAGGTTAGGTTTATGAAGGAGCAGTTTTCAGATGGCTGTACCTTCTAAACGGAGGGCACTGCGGGTTCAATTCAGACAGCAGTAGCTCAATGAAGGCCACTGTCTGGGGTGGGGGTAGAAGGCCCAAGGGGCATGCCCTGAACCACTGACACAGGGGCTCACTTTCAAGTCCGCTGGGGTTCCCTCCCCTACCAGAGCACCCAGGCCCGAGAGGGCAGGGAGCCAGTGGAAAGAAGGTAGGTTTGGGGGAGAGATGGTTGGAGCTGTGCCACTCAATAGCTGTGTGACCCTGGACAGAATACCTACTTTTCTGAGCCTTAGTCTCACATTTGTCCAAGAGGGATAACCATGTGTCCCCCTCAAGGTCTCTGTGGGGGTTGACACCGATGGAGGTCAGAATACAGTAAGTACACAGTGAATGGCAGTGTGTTTTATGGTCAGCAAGAGGCCAAGGGAGCCAAGTTCAAGGGGTCAGGGAAGGAGTTCATTCTCTGAGAGACCACACTTGGGTCCCAGGTAGGGCATGCTCAGAGGGGGGAGGGGAGGTCCCCACAGGCCGTGTCAGGGAGCTCATCCTGAAGGCCCTGCTTCTCAGATAAGGCAGGACAGATAGCAAGGATTGTCCTCTCTCCTCCTCTTCCTCCCCCTCCTGCTCCTCCTTCCCCTCCTCCTCCTCCTCCAGGGGCCCACAGGGGGCAAGGCCCTGGCCTGGTCACCATCCTGAAGAGGTCTAGTGGAACTCTGAGCCCAGGGCAGTCACCTGATCCAGGGGCTCACATTCAGGCCTGGCAGGAGCTCCCTCCACTGCCAGATCCCTTTCAGCTAGAAATTCAATAAGTCTCAGGAGGCCTTAGGCGTGGCCCCAGCTCACCAGATATCAGGGTGGGAAAGTCATAAAACCAGCACAAATGGGGCCCACCATTGGAGGTATCTGGGCCCAGCCACCAGAATGGGGACCCTCAGGAGCTGGCCTCTGGACAACACTAGGTCCTGAGGAGGCAGCATGGCCTGGTGATTAGGGGCTTGGGCTCTGGACTCACAAAGGATATGCAGGCTTATCTCCTAGCTCAATGCCTTGCTGTGTGACACTGGGCAAATGCCTTGCCCTCTCTGTGCCTTAGTTTCCTCCTTTACAAAATAGAGATAATAGGTTCTAGCCCTCAGGAACTACTATGAGGACTAAGCAAAATAATCCTTCTGACTCAATTCTCGGTCAGGGCTCCAGACATGGGGGACATATTGTTAGTGATAATTGGGGGGGCGGAGGGGGGATTAGAGGCAAGGTTCCAGCTTCCATGCAAAATTGGTCAGGAGTGGGGAGAATGGAGAGATGTATTCTGTCAGTGCCACACTCTCTGCCACCTGCAGGCTGCCAGGACTTCTGCCCTGGCCCAGCTAAGGGCCCAGGGAACAGAGTGGAGACTGACCCAAGACCAATTAGCCCAACCAGTTTTCCAAATGAAAAATGTACCTCCCTCTTGGGTACTGCCCTGATCCTGGCACCAGCACCTGCCGGTTGTTGTGGACTCTCTCACATGGATTGCTACACGCCCCACTTCTACCCGCAGTGGTGACTGGGGGCCCCCTGGATGGGCCCTACCGGCTCAAGCAGTTCCATTTCCACTGGGGCCAGATGCACAATGTGGGCTCAGAGCACATGGTGGACGGCAAGTCATTCCCCTGCGAGGTAAGGGCCCTCCTCAGTGGGAATCCCTTTGGGGAAGGAGTGGGGCACTGGATAGTCAGGGGTTTGGCAGGTGCCTGGTGTGGAGTTCTGGAGAGACTGAGGACGAGCACCCAGTGTCTGGGAGAAACGTCCTCCACCCACCCCCAGCCCAGGATCTTCTACCTGAACTCTGCCCACTGCTGCCCTGGTCTGTGTGTCCAGAAGGAATTTTCTGCAGGACAAATCCAGTCCCGCCACACCCTTGCTAATAAGCCTTCAAGGACTGTGTTTAGCATTCAAGGCCTTGCTGAGCCTCCTCCTCCCCTACACTGTCCCCACGCTGCACTGCAGGTGATGAAGCCCCAGCCCACACCTGGCTCTTTCACACCCATACCTCCAGGTATTCTTCCTGGAATACCTTTCCCCCAAGGTTCCGCCTGATTACCCCCTAATTATTCTTTGGACTCAGTGCAAGTGCCTCTTCCTCAGGGAGTGTCCCTGGATGGTCATTATCTATTTTATAGTTAGTTCATGGAGGGCAGGGCCTGAGCCAGATTCCTCTTTGGTTCCCTGGGGCTCAGGAAAGGGTTGGGCCCAGAGCAGGGCGGATGCTTTGTGTGCCCTTTGGGGGCTCCCCAGGGCCACATAGGATGCTAGCTAGGCCCGGGTGGTTGGGCAGCCTGTCCTTCCTTCAGAGGGGCCAGGAGTCTGATGGGAGTGAAGGAAGCCTTGCTCTGAGCTCCTGTGGCCCAGGGAGTGCTGAGCACTGGCCTGGCCTGTTGTTAACCCTATAGCTGCACCTGGTTCATTGGAACGCCAAGAAGTACAGCACCTTTGGGGAGGCGGCCTCAGCACCCGACGGCCTGGCTGTGGTCGGTGTCTTCTTGGAGGTGAGGGGGGTTTACCCAGGGCCAGGGGGTCATGAAAGGCCTGGAACTGCCCCTATTTTCAGAACCCAGTGGTACCGGGCTCACACTACCCTCTCCCTGACAGATCGGGGCTGAACACCCCTACATGAACCGTCTGACAGACGCACTCTACATGGTTCGGTTTAAGGTGAGACCAGGGGTCCATGCCTCTGACCCAGAGCAGCCTGGTGGGGGGAAGGGAAGAGGCTACATCACGGAGCAGACCCATCCACTCTTCCACTCTGGTAGTAAACCCTCGGTGAGATGAAGGGGGCAGGTCAGCGCCTGCAGCATCCTGCACCTGACTCCTCTTCACCAGGGTCAGGGGCCCCATGGAGTGCCCAGTGTGCCATCTCGGTGGGTATAGGATTGATAAGATACTTGTCACATTCGTTAACGGTTGTCCCGCGGGCAGCGCCACTAAGGGCCGCTGAAGGCAAGGGACAAGACATGTGGCCAAAGAGCTCCTGCAGCTTTTACATACGAGCAAATGGGTGGACAGGGCCTGGCTCCGGCTGGGAGATGGCATCGGGGATCACAGGCATTTGCCCACTATTTGCATCCATGAGCCAAGGAGAAGCCTAGATCCCCCCGACAGAAACAGGTAGAAGGGCTGCAGGTCTG